TTAAATAAATTAGATAAATAATTTAATTTAATTTTATTTTATTTTATTTTTAAATCACAATCCAAACTTTTATAAAATTTTATATTATTTTTATATATTATACTACTTTCTAATACAATAATGCTCAAATTTCTTTACAAGCTTGTTTGCCAAAAAAACCTTTATTAGGTTGTGCAAATTTTTTTAAAAATGTTCACTTTGTTACCTTCTTAAAATCTTCCATAAAACAATTGGTTGTATAAATGTTTTTTTATTTATTCTATTTTTTTTTTTTAATTCTCTCTTATGCCTAAAAATTTTAGAAACCATAAAAAGCTCAAAATTTTCAATTATTTTATTCTCTAAAATCTTATTTAATTCCATTTTTGTTGCATAAACTCAAATATCTTGCCCATCAAATTAATTCACCTTATTAATAATAGAATGTAATGCCTTTTTTCCTAAAATTTCTTTTTAATGCTCAATATTTAATTGATGCATGTACAAATTTAAAGTCTTAAATATTCTTAAGGTACTACAATTGAACTCAATTAGTTTTTCACCTTTGTATGCTATGTGCCCTATACCTACAAACAAATAGTACTTCTACTCCAAACTTTTTTATTTCGGATTCACCAAAAATATATCAAAAAATTTATTATTGGTCAAAAAAAAGTACAAATTTTTTTATTATAAAGATTTTTATTACTTAAATAGATCTCACATAGTTTTTATTTTTTTATATTAATTTATATTAAGTTATTAATTAAATCTTTATTTATATTTAATTTGACCTACCTCAACTTAAATTTTTATAACTCAATGTAAAATCATTGGAATGATTTGAAATCTTTTGAAATAGATTATATAACTTATTTTCTCTTTAAATCCAATTTTTAAAATAATTGATGATTTAAATCACTTAAAGAAAGAAAACTTCTTAAACTAATATTTTTATCATTGTTTTTTTTTCACAATCTTGCATCCAATTATTTTTTTTTGCATATCTCTTAAATCAAAATTTATAATATCTTAAAACTTAATAAATTAGTTTTTGATTTAATAATACAACTATATTCTAAATTTTATAACCATGTCTCTTATAAAGTTCAAGTTATGACCCTTCAAAGTTATTACCTTGACTTACAAACTTATTAGACCTCTATTGTTTTTGTACTTTGTTTCTCCTTGACCTAGTTAGTTTTTTTCTTCAAACTTTGCACATAAGTGGATTCACTTGTCTTAAACAATATTTGAAAAGCTTGCTTTAATCAAAGACTCCAATCAATGATAATATATTTTAATCCAAGTTCTAAAAATTTTCTTTTTTATTAATCAAAATAAAAGATAAAATAACCATAAAAGAAACATATCTTTGTGGTTTTCTTCTCTTCTTTAAGTCACCTTAATTATTCAAAATATTACTAAGATGTCTCTAAGATAATCATCCAATACATACAATCTATCCTATCCTTATCATCAGCCTTATCTTTGAAAATATCACCAAAAAGTCTTCAAGCTAAGAATCCACCACATGTGGTCTATCCTATCATTATCTTTATTTTTAAAACTTTATAATTATTAATCTAATAAAAAATATTTTAATAATAATCAAACAAGTATATAAACTAAAAAAATCCATTAATAATAATCTAATTGAATATTTAAATTAGACACAATATATATGAATTTATGTTATTTAATCATTAAACAATCCACATTATGATAACATTGAGGTTCACTTGTACAACTTTCAAATCAAAATTTAAAATGCCAATTGTCACACTTCACAACATTTTATAGGACCTCTAAAAAATATTGACTTTGTACAATACATATCTTAACTTGGAAGGTAAGTTTTTTATATGGGCGCCACATAGTTAGCTTGTTCCTTAAGCTACTAATACATGTAGCATGTGGTTAATTTATTGACCAAGTTTTTAACCCATCAATCAACTACAAACACATATAAAATCAAAGCAACATCTATGAAGCTTATAGGAAGCTTTTCTAAAAGATATTATCAAATTAATCTATTTTTATCTACTTCTATCTATTCATATTACTTAAATAATAATTATAGTATATATATATATATATATATATATATATATATGCCTATTAAACCTTAAGATAAGTAAAAGAGAGAACTTGAAAACAAAAAAAGAAATTCTAAAAAAAAATCAATTTAGAAGAGAGTAATCTACAACTTCTAATATACTTATATCTTATCAAGAGAAAGAAATTATCTACTCTTAATCAAGAAAAGACAAAGCTTTGAAATGATAAGTATATTCTTATCAATTCATTGATAAGAACTTGATAAATATAAATAAATAAATAAAATATTTTTCAAAAAAAGATGACCAAATAGAAATATATATATATATATATATATATATATATATATATATATATATATATATTCAAGAAGAAACTAGAATAGCTATTGTCAATAGACAAGAAAATTAGAAATCAATTGACAAGATTGAAAAAAGCTTTATTCTTGCTTTCATGTATATTATTTAACTAGAAGCTATGTGACAATGCTTTATAGGATTTCTAAAAAATGTCCAACTTGCATGATACATGTCTAACTTATAAGAGAAGTTTCTTATATATATGTCATATAGTTAACTTGTATCACAAGCCACAAATATGTGCAATATGTGACTAACTTGTTAGTTAAGTTTCTAATCTATCAATCACTTTTAGACATGTATAAAGATAAAATTACATCTATAAAGCTTTTGAAAAACTTCTCTACAAGATATTATCAAATTTATTTATTTTAATCTATTTATATCTATATATATTATCTAAATAATCTATATATTTATTTAAATAAATATGTATATTTGTGACACCTTATAAATGAATCCAAAAAATTGTGCTACTGTAAGTATAAAAAAAATAAAGACTAATATGCCAAAGAAGTTTGATGGAACAAGATCAAAACTTTGAGGATTTTTATAACAAGTCAAGCTTTATTTAAGATGACATCCTTTTCAATATTTTGACAAAATTATTTAAATTAGATTCATACATGCCTTCTTTTTTAGGAGTATTTTTCTTAGTTTGTACCTTTGATGGAAAAAGATTCATGACCTTTATATAATCTAAATTTATCCTTCAAAGTGTTTACAGTCACATTTAAAGAGATTGATTAAAAAAGAGTAGTAGAAACAAAAGTCCTATTTTTATAAAAATGATCATAATCAATTACCATGTATATTGCCAAATTCCAAATCCTTAATTGCAATGTAGATTGAAACAATAAAGCCCTCATTAATTAATTTCAATATGGATAAAAATATAATATCAAAATTTTATTATTAATAATACTAGAAATAAAGTCATTAGTTTAATTTATTAATGATGCCTTTTTTAATCTTATCAATAATATTTTTGTATTTTTATCTTAGCTCAAGAATTTCTAATTTCTTTATATTTAGTAAAAGATATTTTAATTTATGATTCATATCTATTTTTGATTTATCTACTCTTTTTTGAGTATCACAAGTGTATATTGCTTCTTTAGAGTTTTTTTTATGATTCTTGTCTTTAAAAATATGAAGATCAAAATTTTATTTTAAGCTTAAAATATAAAAAAAATAGATTAATAATTCTAAAAAATAATAGATTTTATATGATTTAATTTTATTATTTTAATTTAAACAATTATTTAATAAAAAATATAATAATAAATTTTATTTATTTTTATTTTTAGTCTATTTTCATATTCTAATTAACTTATTTAAAATTAAATAACTTTTAAATAATAAGAGTTACAATAAAATATGCTAAGATTTTAGAAACACTTTTTGAAGTATATTGAAGATGCTTTTACACATTATGAGATCTCTATTAATATTTTAAGTGGTTGGATAAAGATTTTGTTGTATTCAAATAAAACCAACTTTAAATTGTTGTTGCTATTTTGGCAAGAAAAATAATTAAAAAAATAAAAGCGACATCATTTGAAACATAGTGCATATAAATAAATAAGTCAATTGTGATCTTTTAAAGTATTTTAATAGATTAGAATGATTTTTTAATATATTATAATATTTAAATTCTAATATATTTTTTATTTAGAAGCGTAATGAAAATCTTACCAAATAAAGGTAGTAACAAATTTGTATTTAAAATAACAAAAATATTGAGCATTAAAGATATATTCTTCAAAACGAATCAACTAATAACCCACTATATTATGCAAGAATGTGATGACTGGGGCAACCTCATACATGTGTTGCAAAAATGTTTTTTTGTTGATCAACGTCTTTGGTGCCTCTTCAAGAGCACACGGTTGCTACACCAATAGAAGGGATCACCATGACCTTTTCAACTCGACTCATCCGTAGTTGATGGGGACATTTTTTCTGTGCATATGCATTAAGTTCCTTGCATCATTCCTCCATGTCAGGTATGATGGGGACATTTTTTCTGTGCATATGCATTAAGTTCCTTGCTTCATTCCTCCTTGTCAGGTATGATGTGGCCATTCCAGATTTTTGCAATTTTTTTTGTTGAACATGGCTTCGAACTATTCGGTGGATGTGCTCGGGACACTTCCGGAGTAAACGAGGTGGATCGTGGCCATTGTATCAGCGGCATCACACACGAATACCTTCGAGTCTCTATTGGTGAGTCAATGAGTTGCTGGGAGTGGTTGTTCCCTGGGGTGATGAGAAATGAGTGGAATTTTTTCGGCATTTTTCAGTGATGACGAACCCGGCTTGTCAAGTTGACACGTTTGCGGAGACACATATAACCCCAAAGCACATTTTTTCTCTTCTTTTCTTGGCACCTATTTTAAGTATTTCTATATTTGCCTTTCCTGAGAAAAACATGACCAAGTACATGGCAGGGATCACTAAAAAGCATAAATAAAAAAATCCGACAAAAGTATTCAGGCAGTACTCTGTAAGTTCACGGCAAATTCGAAAAAGACCAAGACGAGCTGCTAACGTGTGGTAACGTCGGGCTGTTGGTTGGTTCAGTGGTATAATATCCTCACTTATGCTTGGTTCGTGCTCACAGTTAGCCCTCGAACTCAGACTTCGCACTCCGGACTTAGAAGCAGATCATTCCTTGCAGGTTTGTCGGAGGTAGCTGGAGGACCACCTTGTTTCCATACGGATCTGAACTCCTTCCCATCAGGTACAGAATAATCTCCATCACGCAATACCAATTCTGAAGAGCTGCCAGTTATGTCGCTTACAAATTTCTGCAGAAACAGGTGATGTCCTCTGAGCATTCGTTCCAGTTGTCATGCTGGTAGCCGCCATTTTCATGCGTACCACTTAAGTTTCCTTGATCGGCGTGACGAGATCCTGAATTCGCACAACAGTGTTCGAGTAGCTTGATTTCACACCATGGAAGCCGGAGTCATTACGTCACATGGTCATCCTTCGATCTAGACTTATTGGAACTGAACTGCCTCACGGATTCTCCGAACCCGACACTTTCTCACTCTGCATCGTTGATCATCAGGTGGGCGACTCCGCTGATCACTAAGAATGAAAATTGAACGGGGCCAAGCTGCTTTAATCACAGGTGCTGGGAGTGGAATCGGTGCGTGTACCTGTACTTCACAATCTGAGTCCATCGCAGCTCGAGTTGATAATCGTTGATGAAACTCAAATCAGATATTGCCGTCACCGTTGGTCAAAATTTTGTTGGAGAGTATTTCGATTAGCAATCCTGTTCGTGGAGATCATCGAAGAAGAAAGTTGTATCTGACAGTGAATGTGTCCAATATGGTCAACTAGCCAAACGTACTGTTTTAGACGTCCTGCATGGAGAGAATGATCTCAATCGTGATGATAGAAAACTAACTGCAGTTTGTTCGGTTTCTCCAGGAAGAGCCCTGGCAGTCGGTCTGGCAGGTAGAGGAGTGCGGATAACATTGGTCGATCTGAGGGCCACGCAAAGTGAGGAGACTATCCGTTTGGTAGAAGAGGAGCATGCAAAGATTTCCTACAAGCCCAACTCTCCGTCGGCAATTTTCATCCAGTGTGATGTTACCAAGACTGGTACGAGTATCCTAAAACCCATAGTGAGCATCTTGATATTGTCTGAAACTCATCGAGAGATCGGACCTTCCAATCGTCTATGTTCTGACTTATTGTCTTATTGTCTTAGAATACAAAATTCTTACACGCTATGAATTCAGATGACGTGGCTGCTGCCTTCGCCCGCCACCAAGATGTCTTCGGACAGCTCGACATTTGTATCAACAACGCCGGAATCGTCAGCGAGGAGCCCTTTCCCGAGACCAATCCAAACATCTGGCGCAAAGTGATTGAGGTCAATCTCATGGCTGTAATAGATGGCACGATTAAAGCGGTACACCCAACTCTCTCCAGTTTCACTTAGCTTGCACTCAAATATTGCAGGATGTTTGTTTCCTGCACGGACGAGAAACCAACGAAACTAACGAAACTAACGAAACTGTTTCAACTCAGATACAAGCGATGAAAGAGCGAGGAGGAATGATCCTGAACACAGCATCAGCAGCAGGCTTCTTGCCATTACCCTTTCAACCTATTTACAGTGCAAGCAAAGGTTGGTGATACTCAAATATTCCCTGATATCACCATCTCACGTTCTAGGGATACGTGTTCACGAACGATACCTTAAAGTACAGCGTACACGGCAACATGGACATCTGCGTGCCTCTCAATAACCACGAAGTGCGCTATAATTACAGGTGGCGTACTCATGTTCACAATGTCGCTAACTAATTTGGAGATGGACATTCGGGTGAACTCGCTGTGTCCCGAGGTGGAACCCCTAACCGACCGATGCTCCACGCATTGAAAGTGTGAGAAAGACGTCGTTGTTCGTTAACTGTTTCCTTTCCACTCGTTCTTTAGTAGGAATCGTGCACTTTACTTTAAAAATAAAAGTGGTATTGTTATTGGCTCATGCAGTTTGTGGAGACACCGCTTCTCCAACCATTGCCATCTAGCGCAATGGCCGATCTACGCGACAAAGTGGGGTTTGTCCCCATGGAGAAAGTAGTCGCAGGTGAGGCTCTCCACGATAGCTCTCAGGCAGTATTACTTTCCTTAACAACCTGGACTGCTCCAGAGACGAGAGCTCCGTTCTGCGTCGAAGTCCCGCTGTCTAGATCTAGATGTCTAACCCTCTAGAAGTGCGGTCCGCAGCTGCGCTCTCCACTCTAGACGATGAAACCAAGGCTGGGCAATGCGTCTGGGTGCCGACAACACTACCTACGCAAACATATCCTGACGAAGAAACAGACCGGAAGTATCAGTTTTTCATGAAAGATGGGTCACCTTACCCACCATTCACACACCAGTAGTAACAACATCAAGAACGACAACAGAATATTGCTGCTCGGACAATGCCATTGAACACTGTTGCAAAAGTTAGATCCAGCATGTGGTTCTGAAGCCACACGCTCGCAACCTTATCTTATTATCGTTGTTCCTTCGATGGTTTTCATGTGACAGGGCATTAGCTTAGTCTTTGAAGTGGTTTTCACAAAATCTAAAAAGTTTTGATTGCTAGACATCTCTTTTTGTTGATTGCTTTTTGTCATTCTAATGAAAGCTCCTGTCGAATAGAATCTTTGGAGCCTTGGCAAGTCAAGTATGGTGTCTTCCTTGTGTTTCTGATTCGGTTGAATAAAACATGATCTTCGAAAACTGTTCTTATTCTACAAGTGTTTCCCACTTTGTCGGGTTTTTGAACATCATAGCAGTTGTTCATGGTGAGCATCCACCCCGTTAATTATTTACTTATTTGTACTTCTTCCGTTTTGCCGTAATTCTTTTGGAATAAGACAAAATTTCTTGGTGTGTTTCTACCCGCCAAAGTTTTTACAACGTTACTAGTGGATTCATTCATTTCAAGTATATTCAAGAAAAAATTATGAACATGAAATTCTCAAAATACAAAACCATAGAAAGTAAAATGAACTTGCAATGAAATGAATTCAAGGGGAGATGAAGGGGAGAGCCCACATCAAACCGAAGTTTGTTGGAAGTTCGACGAAATAGCACCATCCGACGAACACGACAACGTGGACGAAATCTGCGGTCGTTCGTCAACTGCGTCCGTTGCGACCATCCTCACGTTCTCGAACCTACTAAACCTGGCCACCGCATTACTCGCTCAAACAGGTGTCCATTAGCGACCCTCGATCTGTAAAAGGTGGCATTAGGTCAAGCTCTGTACCAGGACGACGGGTCGCGATCGGGTTCCTCACCTTCTTCAATTGCGAAGCTCGCTGCACCTCAACCTATCGTGTTCCCCTTTACCATTTTGCTGCTGTAGCACCTGACTCCCCTCCCTTGCACTGATCCTTACTCACCCTCAGTCGGGTCAGTGCGCAATGGCCGGTGACGATGAGAAGGATGTGCGCGAGGTAGAGGAGGCCACTTCCTCGGGAGCCACTGCGGAGGGATCCGACGAAGTCTCGAAGGCTGGTGAGGAAGAGGATACTGGTGCTCAGATCGCTCCTATCGTGACGCTGCAGGAAGTTGCCGTTATCACCGGCGAGGAGAATGAGGACGTGCTAATTGATATGTGAGTTGAGCTCCGCCTTACCCTTGTAAGAAGAGAGGTTCAGGTTTCCTAGCCGAACATCGGATTTGTTCTCCCTTGGGGGTGTAAGGGTCAGAGCTGTGACGGATTCCTGTAGCTGGTGAACTCTTAGAGGATTGCTTGTTGTGTTCGTATTGAGTTGTATGCTGATTATCATAGTGTACAAATGTTTAGCCCATTGGTTGGTTCCTCAATTGTTATTTTCGCAGCGCGTAGAACTTCACGGTCTATTACGTTGATTGAATCTGTTGATTAATTCAGGGTTTTTATTTATTTTTTATTTCTCTTACAGGTAGATAAATCACCAGATGATGATTATTTTACAGAGTTTACAGTATTTGGAACCATTTTTTTGCACTGGATTGTGTTTATTCGCACTATATATTTTAGAAATCAACAGTGAGAACTCTTTCAGTAAGGTTAACTACAGATATATGCAAAGAAATCGCAGTTGGATCATCTTTTACAAAACAAACTTCACAGTAGGCATCATCTTCCTCTTTTTCTCCTATTTTGTATAAACACTTCCTGAAGCACGCATTTTTGATGAAGTAATTATTTTCCAAACCTTGAAATTACTTCAAATGATTCTCATACTTGGAATGTTATTTTGGTCAATTTATTAGCGGATGGCTTTATTACCCTAGTTTTATTGAAATGTAAAGCAGACAGAAGTCATTGGAGTGCCATTTCTATCGACGACCTTCGGCTTAGAGCTCTGGACTGGTTGTGTCTAGCACAGCATTATCTCGAGTGTTCTGATTGATTCCGTGCGTGCATCGATACTTATTGTAATCAAATTATGTCTATATTCTAGGACTTGATGCCGCAACTTATTGTCGAATTCGGAATGTATAGTTAAGATTGAAGTAATTTATTTTATATGGTTTGATGCAGGAAGGCTAAGCTGTATCGATTTGATAAGGAGGGAACACAGTGGAAAGAGAGAGGTGTTGGTCAGGTGAAGATCCTGGAGCACAAGACAACTGGAAAGGTTCGATTGCTAATGCGACAGAACAGGACCCTTAAGATCTGTGCCAACCACATGGGTAAGTAAAAAAAATGATAAAGAAGTTATCTGGTGAGAGATAATTCTGTGCAGAACCTTAGTGAAAGTGTGGTTGTAGACTAGGTGGTTGAAGGACGGGCTTCCTATTTCTGATTATGACCTTTCTGAGGCACACTTCCAGGACACCATCGAGATCACCTGGACTGACCTGAAAAACTGTATATTGCAGTCTCGTCATCTACGCAACTGCAAGAGCACGCTGGTAGCGATAAGACTTGGGTCTGGCATGCTCGGGATTACTCAGATGGTGAATTAAAAGAGGAGCTTTTCTGCATGCGATTTGGCAGCGTTGAAAGTAAGTAGTCACTATCATTTATCTACTCGCTTCTACTATCATGTCTAACAATAGAACTCTTGCCACGTTATTTTTCACTCCCACTTGTACAGAATGGTTCGCTTTTCTGACACCTCCACAACTTGCATTTCAGTCCAATTTCCCTGCTTTGATAGTGATTGTCATGAAGGCTGCTTCTCTTTCTTAGTGAGGATTCATTACCTGCTTGTTTTGACCCCTCTTTCTTAGCATTCATTCAAGTGACAATTGTATTGTATTGTGACTTTTTGAGCTTTTCCCCTAGTCTCATGTTCGTTGTGTTGATAGGCGCTCAAAAATTCAAGGATGTGTACGAGGCCGCCCAAGAAAAGGCATCCAGCAAGACAGAGGAGAAGGACGAAGAGGCTGATGAGGCTGCAGATCTTTTGGATAAGTTGAAGGTGGGCTCAAAAGCCGAGAAGGCTGATGCACCTGAAGAGGCCAAGACTGAAAACTAGGGGTGTGATTAACATGTGCTTGAGTTGATGTTAGGTAGTCGATCGTGGGTTACCCGGGCTACATGATACAGTGTTTTGCTAACCCTTTAGCAGGGTCTTAGTGTGGGATGTTTCCCTCCAAGTTCAATAGCTCAATCGTCTCGACCTGTTGTTTAGAGTTAATTAGTATGACATCAGTTGCTTTTAAATGCCTGTTCTACTACTTCTAGCAGCATGTATTGGATCACTTGCTAGGTGCTCAATTGTCTTCACACTTTTGAAGGAGAGTGGGTTGTTATACATTTCGCGATTGCATCGCTTTATTGATATCCCATATTTTATTGATACAATTTGCGACGATTACTTCAATAAAATTTCGTGTCTTCGTATCTTCTCTTCTTTTCGTTCAATTGGTGGTACGCCCAAGTGTTGGAAGCAGGTATTTTACTATTCGTTTCCAAGTCTCCTGTGAAAAGATTCACTGCTGAATACCATCAGGCCTCACAACACTGTTTTCATCCTGAAGCTAGACTTTCAACTGGTTCACCTATCTTTTCCCATGGCCCTAAACCTACAGGACCATGAAAGAAGATACGTAAGCTAGTCGAGCGACGGGTCCGGTTTCAAGCCCAGAGACTGGGGGTTTTGAAGCAGACGAATTACCACTAAGTTTGTACTATATTTGGTCAAATTTTAGTAATCCATTGTGGTTGCAAACGAAGTACTAGGAAATTTCTGTGGCTATTGTGTCTAGTGTTGAAACGGAGCTTTCACCCAGGATACGCTTACTACCCAGATCTTTAAACTTGTGATAGTGTCTACGCGCTAAACAACCATGTTTGTTTGATTGTGACTGTTAACGTTACATGATTTTAGCCCCCTCCTGCAAATTACATGATTCAGTAAAAACTGCAGATTTCATTAAGTAACAGGGCTCTTTCAGCAGTGCGAGATGTGACGCCTTGAAAGCTCCTGTTGGCCAGGAACGATCGCATCTTCCTTTCATGGACATGAAAACCTGTTTGCTTGTTGTCACCATTGTTTGTCCCAATTTTATACTAAGGTCCCGTTTCAAACTAGGCACATCATGATGTTGCCATTGTACATTATTGTTAAATTTCGATTTGTTCCAATCTTAACTAAGCGCAAGAAGCTCCCTAATTTCGTGGCTTGGGCTCCACGCACTAGTGATATCACCACAGCAGCGCGACGTGAAATTCCGAGATGCAGTTCTTGTCATATGATCTTGTATTTGGTACAATAGGGCCACAAGTTACAACTGAGAAGTTCCGAACTTGCAGTGTACATTCGTCAGTACACTGTTTGCCACCGCAGCTCCGCTGGTGAGTGCACGGAATAGCGCACCATTCTCTTAGTTTCTGGAGAACCTGTCGCATTCGGGGTCGTTCATGTGTCTGAGAAGCTTTAGAGTACACTTCGCTACACGATAATCTGATGCAGGCTGGGCCCCTGGTTGACTAAGTTACCAGGGACCCAGTCTCATCACGATGCCGGCAGTGCTCTCCACCTGACCCAATTTCCAATTCGGCTAATTTAAATTGAAGTTTATTCTGTTCAGCGCTTACAGCACGCATGGTCTTGACAAATCAAAGACAGGCTTCGACTTGCAGAATTTTGTTGTCGGCCTGTGCGCTGGCCCCATATCCTACAGCTGTGAGACAATTCTCAAAAGTCCCTGTAAATTGTCGTATTGCCACGTCAAAAATTGAGCAGGTTCTGGAAGACCCATCTCCATTGTTCTCTTGGAAAACCATAGAAAAAGATCATAGTTGCAAAGTGGTAATGAAGGACATGGGTGAAGGCTATTTCTTAGCTTGCGACGCACTTGGTTCATTCCAATGTTTCCGACACACAGATCTCCATCACAATTCGCATCTTATAGAAATCCCATGTTTGTTAATTATTGGGTGCAGGTGCTTCTCGTGATCCTGATGACCAACAAGGAACTGGTATGTGATCTCCGAAACGATTGCCTAGCTGTCTGTTCTCTATCCAGTCGTAGCTATGCAGCACTCTCAAGTAGTAACTGGTGCTCTGGTGTCTATTGTCTCCTAACCTGTATATATATATATATATATATACATAAATAACCATCTGCAACTAAAATCATTCATTCTTTAAAGAGAAATTGGTTCATTGTAGGGCATACCAAAGAGCAATCAGCAGTGCCACACTTTAAACCCCAGTCATCGACATCACTCCTAATATTATTTGGAAGCAATCTGGAATAATAGTTTCCCAAGGTCGCTCCGGTTGGAGATGAGGAACTTGTGAAATGCATCCTTCAGGCACAGATAGGGGTCGCAATGAAACGTCGGAGGAGCTCTCATGTCAGAAAGGACTCTAAATACTTCCAGAAGCACGCAATTGTGGCGTACTTTGTAGGAGGTAAGCAACCCCCGATAGTCATTGCTAGTTGGGTAGACACTCTGTAAAAACATGTCAATGATTGGGTGGGCGTAGGCTGAGATCTAAGCCGAGGGTTCTTTCAGATTATGAGCCATCAACCGACAATTATCCAAAAGCTCCTCATGCTCACGCTAGACAAGTCCTGGTGGAGAACTTATATCCTGCAAACCTGGACATTGGGATTTAACTGGTCATGCTCAATAGGATTGAATATTTAATTAGGCTAGAAGCTAAAGTAGAATCTTTGATTCAAAGCAATTCAAAAAGAAAAAGAAAAAACACAATAGTAGTTTTAAACAAATAAAATAGAAAGGTTGAGAGAAAAAAGAAGAAAAAAGAAGAAGATTGAGAGAAAAAAGAAAAGTAGAAAAGAAAGAATAAGGAAGAAAAGAAAAAAAGAAAAAAGAAAAAAAAAATAGTGAAAAGAAAAGACAAGGAAGAATTTTTATTAGCTCGATGCATGTCAATTGAAAATCTTTGAAGAGGCCACTTGGATCCAGGGTAGTTCTAGATCTTCATTGCATTCTCCTATTTTTTTTTTTTTTTTTTTTTTTTTTCTTATTTTTCTATATAGAGTAAAGCTCCAAATATTTGAGAAGTGGGTACTAGCCATTGTGTATTACTATTTGGTTTTTTTTGTTTGGTAGATGGAGGTGCCATGGCTATAATCATATAAGGTGGCAATTGTCTTCAATTTGCAATGGCTCTATTTTTTGTTCCTACGATGAAAGCAAGGAGTGCCTATATAATGATGCGGTTGGAGTGCCTATGCAATGCTGTGCTTATGGTTCAAAATAATACTATGTTAACCAGATTGTTGTCAATTCAATTGTTGTATTACAAGCTAGGACTCCATTGATACTATGGTTTTTATTGTGGTGCTGCCTGACATTGGCATTGTGATGTTTGAACAATTATTAGATTCAATAGTTGATTGTTGTGTGGTACTAAAATTGATTTATGTGTTTTTCATTGTGTGGGATATTGTTGCAAGATCCAAAGTCTAAACAAAAGCATACATTTAATCAACTTATAAGTGGCGCAAATTTGGTTGCGATGTTGGCATTGATGTAATGAATTATAATGTACTTGTTAGCTAGAGCAAGCTAGTGTCAATAATTTAGCTTTAAATCATTTTTATTTTTATTTTGTATATATATATATATATATATTTTGTGGTAATAGTATTGTGAAGGCTTGGATCATGTTCTTCTTGTAGTGCTTGAATTTTTGCAATATTAATGCTTCTGCCATATAGTCTCTAGTTATTTATTTTTTTGTTGTTTGTAGTGATTTTATTCAAGAATATTGCATTGAAGTTGCTAAGACCCTCATTGGTCTTTCTTTGAAATTTGATCTTTAATAGGGCTTTAAAAAAGTGCTATACAAATTGCAGTGGTTGTATGGTAGATGTGTGATTGCTTTCAACCATTGTATTATTAATGTTGTACTTTATTAAATTGGAATCTTTTTTCAATAGCAAATTGAAGCGATTTTTGTTTTATGTTGAGAATATTTACTGATTTGTCATCAATTCTAGAGGCATATGTTGGTGATGTAGTAGATCAAAGGTGCTTAATATTGATGTAGAAGTAAGTGGTGCTAATATTTTCTATCTTCTATCTTATATAGTTCTATATTTGAATTGTGGTATAAATAGTATTATAGATTTTTTAATTGTTGCAAGGCTTGGCTATAATATAGTAGTAGCTATATATTAAAGACATGAATATTGAAGAAAAAAATCCTCAATACACTCTTGTATTATTCAAAAAGACTAACAAATTACTCAAAGATGGTAATATGTTGAAATAGAATGGCTATTGCCAAAGACAAGAAGACTATAAAGTCTTCTTATAAGACTAGAGACTAGAAAGACATTGATAAAAGTGAAGAAGGCTTCACTCTCATCTCTATATGTACTATCTAAATAAGAGCTATATGTTGATGTTCAATAGGGCCTTCAAAACATATTGACTTTACAAAACACATATCTTAACTTGCCAAATAAGTTTTCTATATGTGTACTATATAGTTAGCTTGTTTTGGAAGCTATCAATACATAATTAATTTTTTTACCAAGTTTATCTTAGATTTGAGAGATATTGTTGTTGAAAAGCCTCAACCTTCTTTACTATATTTGCAAGTTTCTTTGTTAGCTCCCATATACATTTATTAATATCATATCTATGGCAATAAATAAGATATTTTAATTTGTTTTATTCTACCTTAAATTTAAGATTTATTTTGCCTCAAATTCTTAATTATTATCTATTTTTATAAAAAGAGGTGGCATATGTCTTCTTCTCAAGATATTCACTGTTTTATATGGTTGAAGAAGTGATATGTGGAATACAAGATGGATCTTCATAGACTTCAATAGATGTAATCAATAAACAACAAGATTGACTTGGTTACAAATAGGAAAAAATCCAAGCCTACAATACTCCAACTTATCTTGTATTAGACAAGTAGTCTTAATATTACAATGAAGTAATCATATTTTCTTTCCTATATTGAATTATGATTATCCCTTGTAATAGGCATCCACATTGAACTTTTGATGTTCTTAAGCTTCCTTTCACTTTGCCATTGTTGTTATATGTAGCTCTAACAAATATTTTGTCCAATCTTTGTTACAAGATTATCAACTTTTAAAAAGTCAAAAGTATCAAGTTGTAAATGATAACCATAATTGGCAAAGAAAGTTGTTTATTGAATAGAAGAATGTACCAAATTATTATATGCAATCTTTGCTAATGAGAAAAGAATTGTCCAATCATCTTAATGATAATTAATAGTATATTTTAAATACTACTCTAGAATTTGATTTACTTGTTTTGTTTATCTATTAATTTAAAGATGAAAATTCAAAGATAATTTTATATCTACCTTCAATATCTTAAAAAAGGTTCTTCAAAATCTTGATACAAATTATATTTTTCTATCTAATATGATATCTTTTGGCA